GAGGATCGCTTGAGCCCAAAAGTTTGACGCTGCAGTGAGCTATGATCCCACCACTGCACTTTAGCGTAGGTGACCAAGTGAGACCCTATCTCTAAAAAAAAATAAATAAATAAAAATAAAAATAAAAGATGAGAAAACCAAGGCTCAGGAGAAGTAACTTGTCCAGGGTCAGGCAGCTGGCTGTAGGTAGAGCTAGGACAGAAAGCGAGCTTTGGCTGACATATTTGCTTTGAACTTTTCACTCTGCAACTCTGAAGAAAAAAAGTACGTTTACACTGTGAAAGTCTATACAATGAAAATTGGATTTTCTCCAATTCTTATTGATAATGGGAGACATTAAAGAGAAAGAGAGAGGGGCCAGACACAGTTGCTCATGTCTATAATCCCAGCACTTTGGGAGGCCAAGGTGGGCAGATCACTTGAGCCCAGAAGTTTGAGACTAGCCTGGGCAACATGTAAAACCCCATCTCTATTTAAAAAATATATACAAAAATTAGCTGGACATGGTGGCAGGAACCTGTAGTCCCAGCTACTCGGGAGGATTATTTGAGCCCAGGAGGTGATGGCTGCAGTGAGACAAGATCACACCACTGCACTCCAGCCTAGGTGAGAGAGCGAGACTCTGAAAAAGAGAGAGAGAGAGGAGAGAGAAATCTTCAACAAGCACAGAAATGCCATGACTTCTAAAACTAAGATCTGATCTGTAACTTAAAAACCTTCTGTCTGTTTTGCCTGCAGAGAAAGCTAAATTCCTGTGGCGAATGAAGCTGCTTTCCAATGCTTGCTGTAATAGCCCTCTGGCATCTTTCTTTCATAACATCTAGCACAATTTGAAGTTACATATTGGGTGATTGTTTGATTAATGTTTGTCTTTCTGAAATTCTGAGGTAGCATCATCATATAACTTACAGTGTAAATGGGAACACTTTTGAAAGTAAAAGGAGATGTTATTAATAATTATTCCAGGACAAGAAGGAGACTGGAACATGTGGTCATCCTATGGGTGAAGCAGAGACCAACCCTGGTTTACTTGACATTGTAGTCCCAGTGCCAGATTCCATACTTAGCACATAGTAGATGCTCAATAAATAAACATGATGATTGGTTTAACAATGTCTTTGAAATATTTTTCACTATTTTATCCCACCATATCTTTCAGGTTCTACTTACTGCAGCTTCTAACATATCCCAAACCTAGACATTCAGGGGTCCCCGTTTAGCCATTTTGAACATAACATATATTGTCACAGCCTCAAGCTTTTATGAAACTGTCGCCTCTGCTCACAATGCGCTCCCCTCACTCTCCACCCATCCTTAAAAGTATTCTCCACTCAGATACCACCTCTTCTCTGAAATCTTCCTCCCATTTCCCAAAACACGTGTACACTAATAATAACAAACATCTCTAATAACAAACATGCCACTCCATTGTAGATATGTATGTTCCTTGTCCACCAGTAGACTGTGAGTTCCTCCAGGGACAAGTTTCACCCATCTCCCCAGGGCACATCCTAGGGCATGCACAGAGTAGACATGAGATAAATGCTTGTTGAAAGAATCAGATGAGGTTGGGAGTCCCCTTAAGTATCAACAGTCAAGAAAGATGAAAAAGGAGTGAACTTGGGTTCTGAAATAATCATGTCTATGGTGTTATGGCTACACAGCTACTCGCCTCCTTACACTGCATGGTGCTGGGCACATAGCAATCACATTATCAATCAATGTTATTATTATTAGCATTATCAGTCATTAATTTTCATGTACCCCTTCACTCTTGTCTTTCCGGACTTGTGGAACTCTAATGCCAAGTTTCTGCTATCTCCTCAATCTCAGTTCCTCATCAGCATTTTTTTCTATTGGAACTGACCTTCTCTCCTGCTTTTTGTCAGCTGAGATGTATTAGAGAGTCTTTCGTTGACAGGCAAGTCCTCCTGGCACTTCATCACACCATATTCTTCAAAGTGCCTCTGACGCTATGGCTGTTGCTGGACTCCTTGGATCCTCCATCTTCCCCTTTTGCCAGGCTGTTTATATTCTTTAAAGACCTTTCACGTAATGCCTGTGCTAATATTTACATCCTTGCTTAACTAGGCTGGCCTCTGCTGCCCTGGGCATTTCTTGACTCTAGCAGGATGGAATTACAATCTTTCCAAGCTACTCAGTAGCTATTTCCCATTCATAGAACCACAGCATGCTAAGAGCTGGAAGTTGCTGAGTGTGCAGCCTACCTGGCGGTTAGGATATGACCAATGAAAGATGCGCTGGGTTTAGCCTAGTTGCACATAATACACAGTCTTTGGAAACTGATAGTCCTGTGTTTGGAGCAAAGCTCATCCACTCATCAGCTATGTGACCAGTAAATGATTTCATCTCTCCAGAGTCTTATTTCCCATATGTATAAAAAAGAAATCCTTTTTTAATTGCTTCATGTAGATAATTACATGACAGTATTGTTATGAGGATTAAATGTGATAATGTATGCAAAAAGAAAGGCACATAATAATTGCTCAGTAAATGATATCTATTATTACAAAAAAATCAAAAACATATTGCACACTTACTATATATAAAGGTGTGTAGAGTGCTAAACTCTGGAATTGGAGTAAGGAAGATAAAAAGAGGAAGATATAATCCCTGTCCTCCTCAAGTCCAAAATCGGAACTCAAAGCAAACTGTGATTAAGAGCTATAAGAGATACAGACAACTGGAAGCAAAAGGAGAAGATTCTGGAAGGGACAGAGTTGAGATCTTGGCTAGGCCTGAAAGATTGACAAGAGCCTTGGTTCACAACTATGATGAGAGAAAACTTTGCAGAAGCAATGATTTGTGCAAAATCTCAGAGGAAGGCTGTAGAATAACAAAAGCAATAGCTAATACTCAAATGAGGCACTTCTTATAACGCAGGCACTGAGCAAAATGCTTTATATCATCTCATCTAATCCTCTCAACAAGTATGCGGGATGAGGTAGGTGCTAATATTATTCCCATTCTGCAAATGACTCTGAGGCTGAGAAAGGTGAAGTGGTTTGCTCAGGATTGCAGGGCTAGTAAGTGGCAGAGCAGGATTTGAACTCAGGTCTGCATGACCCTGAAGCCAAAGCTCTAATTCCACAACTGTGTGTGACAGGTGGGCATGTGTGAGAACTGTGGGAAGATCAGGGTGGCTGGAGTATAGGTAGGGTATGTACACATGTGTATACGCGTATGTGTGTGTATGTATGCACACATGCACAAGTTGGGGGTATGGTACAGAGGAAATTTGAAAGAGAGGGCTTCTAGAAGAGAGGTAGGGAAACTACTGGAGAAGATTCTGGAATCCAGGCTGAGGGCCTTACGCTGTTCTGGAGGCTGACTTCAGTTCTCCTCACTGCACTCTCAACCCCATTAGGCCCCAAGGGTTATTAATAATGGCAATGATCGTGCTAATAATGATGGTGTTAACAACCCCTGGAGGGAGCGTGGTGAGGCCGGGCCTGCAATGAACTCCTGCCAGAAAGAAAAGGCCTCCAACTCCCATTTTCTGGGCTCCAGGGCCAGGCCTAGGCCTCCAAATTGACTTTGACTTCACAGGAGAGCTCAGCAAATTCTGCAAAAGCAAAATACCTGCAGGAATATCTCTCCTTCTCTAGAGTTTTGGCAAACTTATTATCCCAATCAATATCTGAGTAATTACAATCCCTTGTGATCAAAGGGGTGTGTATTTCCCTTTCTTTGGCCTCCTTACAGGGCTCTCTTATCTGGAAAAGATTTCTTAATCTACTTTCCCTAAATGCCCTGAAGGTCTGCGTGCCACTGCAGCCCCAGAATTCCCTGATTGCTTTTATTGTCCTTAACTGCTACCTGGCCTGGCTTGCTGGCAGCCCTGGCAGGAATCAGCCTTTTAGCTGGGGCCTCCCACTGAGCCCTCAAGGGAAAAACAAGGAGGTGGGAGCCAGGACTCTTGGGAACCCAGAAGAACCCAGGAGAGCCCCACATCCCGCTCCATCTAAGAGGAAGCAGGGAAGGCTGAAGGCTGGGAGTGAGGTCAGCCCACTCTTGCCCCTCTTATGAGTTACACTCACCACTCCTGCCAATCTTTCACCCTCTCACAAGGCCCCATCTCTGGCTGAGGCAGGAGAAAGGGGCGGTTGGAGAATTAGAAGGAAGTGGGTTGAAAGTTTTCCTTTAGGTCCTTGACAAGGACCCACAAGGTGAAAGAAATTTTTGTTCAGTTATCCCAGCCATCCTTCTACTCCATGAATGCCTCATCCATGCACCCTCCAGACAAAAGACCATCTATTAAGCTTGCAGGGCCCGGCCCCCAAGGCATGAAGATCAGCTCCCTAGCTCAGCCTCCCTGTGCCTCCTAAGTAACAACTGTGTTCTTATGTGGGTCAGGGTGGGTCTCCGTGGAGGGGGAGCTACGATGCAGAAACATGAAGAGGTGCTGCCACATGGCCAACTGCCTGCTTACTGGGAGCTCATACTGAGCATACTTACTGAGCATACTCAGTCTGGCCTGATGTATGATTTCAAGACCAGATCCTTTCTGACTCAATGATTTAAGAGGTTTCTGCACACCAGAGACCTAATTACCCCAAAGATTTCAGTTCTGTCTTCTCAGCTTTGCTTCCGAAGAGGCGCCTCCAAGAACACCACTAGGTTGGAGTCATTACTGTGCTGACCACTTGCAGGGCCACTTACTGTATTTTTATGAGGGGCGTACTGTGCTGTATGATACATTTCCCAGCAAAGACTCTGGAGAGGGGCTCTCAGTGACACAGCTGCTACTGGGGGGAGGGGGAAAATAATGATGGACTCGTGTAAACACACGTCTTTACACGAAGAGGGAGGTGTGCACCCAAGTGAACACAGACAACTGTCGCCAGGCCATGCACACTTAGACACAGATAGAGGAACCAAGCGCATCATGGTAAGCATTCCAGAGGCCATAGGCCAGCCCCCTGCCTCCAAGCAGATTTGTTCCAATTTCCCCCAGATAGCATGGATCTCTACAACTCTGGGGCAGGCAATCTTACCGTTCCAATGGTAGGCTTTTCCAGTGTTTAACAGCCCTCCTCCCGTGGAGTAGTTTCCTTCTAGAATTAGGATTGTTCACACTGGTGGGGAACTTGGAGATCCTATAGACAAAACCTCTCATTTTAGAAATGGCAAGATCCAAGGGTCTCCATTCTCAGAGCAATCACTACACCCTGTAGGACAGACACTCGGCTTGGGGGCTTGGCAGGCCAATCAAACACCCTGCAAACTCCTTCAGCTCAGCTCAGAGCCAAGGGGGTAGCCCTCTCATCAGGTGTAGGTCCTAGTTAGGCTCATCAATGTTGGTAAGACAATGACAACCCTACTCCAATGTTGATGGATTTCAACTGTTTGTGTGTTTGTAAGGCATATGGGTCCATCTTTAATTGGCAACCCAATAGCTGCACTTCAGGTACTTGGCAGGGAATATACTCTCGAACTCATTGCCGTGAAGTGTCCATCAAAAACTCAGCTGAGAGAAACCAACTATATGAAACATTGCCTGAAGGGGATGCAGTACATTCATCCCTCTAGAAATATTAACAAGGGCCCCAGGGTTTAGCCAGGTCAGCAGAGAGCTGTCTATCGGACCATATTCCTCTGGTCCCCTGTGGAGCTGCTTTTCTGAGCTGAATTTTGGCCTGTGTTGAAGGATGATGCTACAGGGAGCAGCCTCAAGGAATGAGGAGCCAGTCTACTGTGAGGGTGGTGAGGATGCTGTTCATCACGTAACACAGAGCTCTTAGGAAGGACTCAAGGAAAAGCTCTTTCTGGTTCAGCATCAGGAAAAGTTGGGCTCCTTCTGAACATTCTTTTTTCTTTCCTTCCTTCCTTTTTTCCTTCCTTTCTTCCTTCCTTCCTTCCTTCCTTCCCTCTCTCCCTCCTTCCTTCCCTCCTTCTCCCCTTCCTCCTCCTCTTCCTCTACCTCCTTCCTCTTCTTTTCTCTCTCTCTCTTCCCTCTTCCTTTCTTTCCTTCTTTTTCTCTCATATCACAGGCATTGTAAATTGTGAGACTGACTGGACTACCTTGTTCATATTGGCTGCCAGAAACTTTAGATTCTGAATCACAGCCTGCCAGTAGTAGGTGTTTAGGGGCTTCAAGTTCTGCATCCCTGGATTGGCCTCATTTGTGATCCCCTGTGACATTCCTTCGTTTGTTCTTCTGTTTTCCTTTCCCATTTCCTTCTAATATGTGTTATGGCACTGTGTTTCACATATCTGTGTAAGCCACCGTAATGCCACTTTGGCACAAGGCAGGTATAAGTAAGTACATTAATGAATTAATTAATGCAGCTCAAACTGTGCTGCACACAGAGATTATATTTACAAAGAAGTCCATTTACCAAGTTGGTACTGGAAGGCCTCCCAGACAATGTGGACCTTAAGCGAAGAGTCTTGAAAGATGTGTGAGATATAGAGAAACAGAAACAAGTGGAGAAATCATTCTGATCTGCATCCTGCCCCTTTCCATGTAAACAAAGCCTGCATCTTCTCACTCTTCTCTCAATACCAGTGGAGTCCATCTCCGGTAACTTCTAATCCAATTTAACATCTCTTTGTGAATCTGAAGGCACAGACAAAGAAAATAAGAATCATAAAATCACAGAAGGTTAGCACCTGGAAGAATCTGAGAAATCCTCTCAGCTGAGCCTTTATTTTAACAAGGGAGAAATGAAGTCCTAGACAAGACAAGTTCGACTTTCTGGATGATTTAGAGCAAGTTCTGGGTTGAGAACCCAGTATCCCTATCTCCCTGAAAGTCTGTGGTCTTTGCTGTATTCCATGAATCTAAATCATTTTATTTCCTTTTAGGAAGCTTGAGCTTTATGCTTATGTTAGCATGTATTGATCATCTATAAACTGGAGGAGCGGTGGGTAGGACTTCCACTGATATAGTTTCATCCTTTCAGGGGGACATTAGGGGATTTATGACTTTGGGCACATTTCTTAACCTCACTGAGCCTTTACTTCCTCATCTGTAAAATGAACATGATAAGAACATTTCCCTCAGGTTATTGTTAGTATTGGATGAGAAAATGCGCAAGAAGAGCCTGACAGATAAAAACACTGATAAAGGTTAGTTGTGGTGGTGGTGGAGATGATGGCAGTGATGGTGGTTACTAGTTCCCCCATTTCGCAGAAAGGAGCAGCAGCTTGAGGGCACGTAGTAATTTAGCCAAGGAAGCATGACAGGATCCCTGCTGTGTCTGCCCCAGAGCAGCACCTTCATGTTTAGATTGCTTGGAGTGTGAGAGAGCTTAGGCGCTTGGATTTCCAATTTCCCATTCTCTCCATCCTATCTCCACCCTATCTCTGGTCTCTTCCTGATCCCACAGCTTGCCTCTGCCCACTGACTAACTACCTCTCCATAGATACCATACGCCTAAATACCAGTACCAAAATACCTAAATCCAGATTGACACTTGAGATAATAATCAAGGAAGGTTGCACCATCTTTTGGGGACTCTTCTATCTGGGACAATTTGTGTGAGATCCTTACCAGTGGCAAAGGAATAGGGACAAAGAAATTTTCCAGGGACCTTTTCAAGCTAAAGACTCTAATAATTCTATTTTCTTCTGGCCCAAGCTTAGGCATCTAAGTCTTGTTTGGGTACTGTTTTAGTGCACTTTGTGTTGCTCTAACAGAATATCTGAGCCTGGGCAGTTTATAAAGAAAATAGATTTATTGGCTCACAATTCTGGTGGCTTAAGAAGTTCAAGACTTGGCATCTGCATCTGGTAAGGGCATCAGGTTACTTCAACTCCCTGCAGAAAGTGGAAGAGAAGCCAGCATGTACAAAGAGATCACATGGTTAGAGAACTCACTCACCCCACCACACACACACCCGACCATGGCATTATTCATGAGGGATCCGCCCCCAAGACCCAAACACCTACCACCAGTTCCCACCTCCAACAATGGAGATCAAATTTCAACATGAGGTATGGAAGAGACAAATATCCAAACCATAGCAGGTGTCTTGGGTAGAAATGTTAACATCTGGAGCCCTTGCTGAATCTATACTTCAAGGTCTGCACAAAAAGCAACTTTCAGCTCTTGGCATGCTTTGATGCTATGAGTAGGAAATAGCTACTGAGTAGCCTGGAAAGATTGCAACTCCATCCTACCTGAGTCAAAGAAATGCCTAGGGCAGCAGAAGACAGCTAGTTAGGCAGGAATGTAAATTTTAGCATAGGCATTACATAAAACGTCTTTAAAAAATATGAACAGCATGGCCAAGAGGAAGATGGAGGATCCAAGAAGCCCAACAGCAGCTGTGACATCAGAGGTCTCTACCCTTACCTCACACCATATACACAATACAACCCAAAATGAAACATAGTCCTGAACATAAAACCTAAAACTATAAAACTTTTGGAAGAAAACATAACAGAAAACTTTTGTGACCTTAGGTTAGGTAAGGATCTCTTAGATGTGACACCAAAACCATGATCCATGGTATAGTGAATTTTATCAACTCTTAAAAACTTCTCTTTAAAAGACACTCTTGAAGGAATTAATAAATAAGTCACAGACTTGGAGAAGATATTTCCAAAACACATATATGAAAAAGGACTTAAATCTAGAATACACCAACAACTTTCAAACTCAACAATAAGAAAAAAACCAACACATTAAAAAAAATAAGCAATGAACATTTCAGCAAAGATACATAAATAGCAAACAATAACATGAAAATATGTTCAACCTATTTATTAAAGAAATACAAATTAAGGTTGGGTTTGGTGGCTCATGCCTGTAATTCCAATACTTTGGGAGGCTGAGGTGAGAGGAGCATTTGATCCCAGGAGTTCAAGACCAGCCTGGGCAACATGGTGAGATCCTGTCTCTATTTTTAAATTTTTTTAAGAAAAAAAATACAAATTAAAACTATAATGAGATGCACTGCATATCTATTTATATGGCTAAAATAAAAAGTAAATAAGTAAATAAATAAATAAATAAATGACAATACCAAGTCCTGGGAGAATATGAGACAACTGAAATTGTCTATCATTACTGGTAAGAATGCAAAATGATATAGCCATTTTGGAAAACAGTCTGGCAGTTTCTTATAAAGCTAAATACATACTTGTCATGTGACATAGCAATTGCAGTATTTACCAAGTGAAATAAACTTATGTTCACACGAAACCTATATGTGAATGCTTATAGAAACTTTATCCATAATCACCAAAAACTGGAAACAAGCCCAATGTCCTTCATCTAGTGAACAAGTACACAAACTATAGTACATCATAAGTGGAATCTACTCAGCAATAATAAGAAATGAACTACTGACATATACAACAACATGGATAAATCTCAGATTTATTATGCGAAGTGAAAGAAGCCAGACTCAAAAGGCTATATATATTACATTTATAAGATATTCTGGGAAAGGCAAGCTATAGAAACAGAAAACAGATTCATGGTTTCCAGGGACTGAGGGTGGGAGAGTGACTGAAAGCAAAGGGACCCAAGGGGATGTGGGTGATTGATGAAATTTTTCTATATCTTCACTGTGGTAGTGGTTATATGACTTTATGCATTTGTCAAAACTCATAAGCTGTACAATAGAAAGAGTTAATTTTAATGTATGTAAATTATACCTCAATTTTTAAAATGGAAGGAGTTCTTTATTCTTGACAGAAATAACCTATATGATACACACTAAAAATTATTATCTACATTTTATAAATGAAGAAATGGAGGAATGAAGAGATCAGTTAACTTGTCCACATTAAAAACATTATAGCATTAAGAAGAGATTAAGCTGTGATTGGAATCCGGACTCTGGAGCTCCAAAGTCCATTATTTTAGCCACCAGACTATACTGTCTCTCACAATGGGGACTTCTCTTTATTCTTGGGTAACTTTGGCTCACCCACTCACCCACTGGATTTTAACCTACTTGAAAGGACAGTCTGAGTGATAAGCCTCTTACGTGTGTTTTAAATACATGAGAATTAGTTGAATATATTGTATTCTTAAAAACATTCAAACAATACAAGAGTATAGACAGTAAAGAGTGAAAGTTCCCTTCCATTCCTCCTGGCCCACTTTCTCCCCTACTCTTGGAATAACTGTGTTGACAGGTGTTGGCTAGCCTAGCCTTCAACTTTTTGCTGTATACGTCTATAGTTACATATGCACACCATATGCACTTCCAATTCTCCACTCAGTCTCCAGTGTAGCAACTGCACTGGTCATGGGAGCGTGCTTCACTTGGAAACAAAAGCCACAGGTTCAAAAGCTACCACTTTTCCTTGCTTTGTCATAGACTAGCTGTATGATCCAAAGGAAGCTAGGCTACCTCTATGTACCTGCTTTTTAATTTCCAAAATATAAATAATACTCATTTTTAATAAGAATAGGTCCCTTACCACTTAGCAACAGTTCAGTAAATGCTGTTTAATCTAATCCAGGTAATTGAATTGTAATTGATGACAGCTAAGGCCATGACCACCAAGTCTCCATTCAGTCAACCCCCGTGAATGAGGGTGATTAGAACTTAAGTCTATCTGAATTCAGCACCTGTTATTTCAAAACTCCACTATACAATCCTGACAAGTAATCTGGATCCTTTGTCACTCAAAGTATGTAGGAATTGATGGGACAGGAAATACTTAGCCTGGAGAAGGAAAGATTCTTCAGGGATGTGAACATTGGTTTAAAATATTTGAAGACCTGTCATATGGGAAGAGAAGGCAGATTTGTTCTCAGTTGCTCCAGGGCAAAAGCTGGAATTAATCTGGATGCAAATTTTGTATTATGGAATAAAATTGTCCAACAACTATTAGCCAACAAAGGAGGAACTGCCCATGAGGCAGTGGGTTTCCCACCACTTTCCAGTAATCAACCTGAAATTGCATGATCATTTGTCAGGAGAGAGAAAGATGCCTCAGCTGGCAGATTTCGGGATTCCATGCTTCTCTGTACAGAGGTGCACATCCTCAGAACATATGTAGGTATATGCAAATAGTGGAAGAAGGGTATGTGCATTCTATCTACCTTTTCATCCTCCCCACTAAGGAAAAAGTTGAGAGGCCAATAATGGGGGCAAGTGGAATCAGATGCACAGAGGAACCAAGGCAATATGAGATAGATGGTTTTTCATCAGCTGGTCCTGTATGTAAGACGAAGAGCGAAAGGAGAGAATGTCCTGCCCTCCAAAAATGCAGACCTATTTGGATCCTATTGGAGATCCCTTGGCAGCTGACACACATGCCCATCTGCCATGCTGGCACAGTGCCCTCGGCAAGGGGAGCTCTGCTTCCTGCTGGTTGGCATAGATGCCAGGTGGTTGCACATGCCTGCAGAGGGGGACCTCTGTCCCAAATAGTACGGGGAACTTGCAGCCCTCATACTCACCCTCTGCCCTGCTCAACCCCCACCAGCCCCACCAGGGGGCCTAGAGGTGCCCTGGAGTTGCAGAAAGTGGAAACAGAGAAGCTAAACACTGGAGAGTTTGGGGCTGCCAAATGAACAGGCCTTGCCACATCAAGCATGTTGTAGAGCCAAGACCACCCAAGGAACAACCAAATGGACTCTTGGAAGGAAAGGCCAAGGCACAAACAATACCAACTCAAAGGGCATCACAAGGGGTTCAGGCCCTTGAGAGAGAGATGGGGTGTTATAGGATGCCTTTGGCTCTGTCATTCTCCTCCAGGAATGAGGAGAAACAACTCGGAGGGAAGGATACTCAGTTTTCTCTACATCTGAACTCGGTGAGTTCATCCCTGTCTGTTGTGGGATGGGAGTGTCCGAGCCCATAGTCGTCTCTGCCTAACTGCATGCGAGGGTCTCCTCCTACGCTGGTGTGTGTGTATGTGTATGCGTGTGTGTGTGTGTGTGTTGTGTGTGTGTGCATGCCACGTCTGTGTGTGGGTTGCAGTAACTGCATATTGCTGATGCTGCAAAAGCACATAAAGGCTGGGCAGCTAATCCAATCATTCATGCTTCCCTTGTTCCTACTCTGGGATCTGATAGATAAAAATACCCAGGCAAATGACCAGTTTCATGGACTGTTTCCTCTTTTGTCAATACAAGGAATTGTGAGCTGTCATCTTGTCCCTCCTCTCCAGAGAGAGAACTCCAATATTTATGACCAGCTTTTATAACACTAATTGTATTTCTAATTGTTTTTCCCTCTCAGCAGCATTGCGTCCCTCACCCCGGTGACGACGGGCAGTTCTGAGGTTTATGAAGAGTGGTTTGTCACAAATGAAATTCAGAAGAGGTTGTGAATGAGGCGGCCACATTTCCTGCTTAGTGGTCCTCCTCTGTTCTGAAGCATGGGTTCTGGCTGGAGGCCAAAGTCCTACGTGTCCAACAGCAGAAGGGATGGGATTGGCTCTCGCCTCCCCTGCCCAGAGATGAGGAGTCAGGGATGCGATCAAGGACAGCTCCTTGGGCTGGGTGTCCTTCAATTGTAGTGCAAACAGGACCCTGCCTCAATTTCTTCCACGTAGAAAATCTCTTTCCTGTCCCCACCTTCTTAACTTGTTTCTTGCGTTTCCACTCAGCAAAAGGTCCATTGGCTTTTTATTTTTATTTTTTTTAAGGTCTGAAAACTGATTTTAGATTTTCAGATCAATGAAAGTGCAGGAAGCAGAGTGGTGTAGTGGGAGGCAAATTTGACTAGGAATCGGGAAAGCTGAGGTCTACTCATTCAATTATTCATTTGCTCATTTACACATCAAACATTTATGGTGGCCTACTATGTGAGCAGCATTGTCCTACGTTCTAGGAATAGAGAGACCCTAAAACCTCACGTCTTAAGCCACAGCTGCTTCTGTTATAAGGTGGAAGTGGACCACCCGAAACCACAGTCCCCAGAAGCACTGCATTCCACCTATATAATATTTCAAATCAGGACAGCTTGAAGAACATCAATGCTTATGTAAAGAAAGGTCTGGACAGAGTTGGGGAGTCTGAGTTCTAATTTTGCTCTGCCCCCTTTCAGTGCATGACCTTGGACAAATCCCTTGGACTCTCTAGGTCCCAGTTTCTTTATATATAGGACAGAAATAGAAGTAACTGTGTACCCCATGTTGATTTTGAGCGTTAGATGAGATACTATGGGTGGACACTATCTGTAAACTTTATATAAAACAACCCATCAAAGTAAGAAATGACTATCCGTAATAATCAGGGAGCCCTCGCTAACTCTTCCAGGCTCACTCTGCAGAGTTCAAAAATGAACACTGGGAAGTAATATTGGGGAGGAAGGGCAATACTGGCCATTTCCTTTTCAAAGGAGAGGGAGAAATCTCTTCTCAAGTAAATCCTTGGAAGATCTCCCCTGAGGCTTGGGTCAAACTAACCAGCACCCCACAAAAAGAGACACAAACTGAGTAATGTCCACAATAATAGTCAAGCAGATTTTAACTCGACGGTGAATTCACCCTACGGAGCCATCTTTGGCTACTGGTAAAACACACAACCCTGGGCTTGGGGAGCTATAAAGGTCACATAGCCCTGGATCTAGTATCCAACAAGGATCCCAGATAGCTGACCGCTGAGCTCCATGGATGATCTCTGTAGATAAACTAAGACGAATAGTTGTAGGAATGGCTGTCTCTGAAGAATTGCCCCGAAGACCAGAGAGGAATATTCCTGAGCCAGGGAGGGCAGGTGCAAGGCAGCTGAGAGAGCCACTCTCTCAGCACCAAACTGGGCTCATTCTCTCCATGTTTCCCTGCTCTCTCATGTAGAGCCACTTGACTTTGATTTGTGACTGTAGTGGTACAAGAGGAAGAAATCCTACAAGGTGAGGTTAGGAAAGAAAATTAAAACATTGCAGTATGTTTGACGTAGAAAAGACACCAGATATCAGCTCTTCCAAGTCACTCCCTTGACAGATGCAATATGATGTGATCAAGCAGAGTGTTCGTGCTCGGGACTTGCATAATCTACAGGACCTTGGACCCTTGCATCTCTGAACTTCAGGCTTTACTTTTTCATTGGAAAATGATCGTAATAGTAATAACGACCTCTGGGTGTTGGATAGATGATATGCACTAATACTATGCAAAAGTCCTTCAAGGAATGGTATGGCCTAGGGAAAAGCACGTGTGGCTTGGAGTCAGAGGACATGGATTTAGACACAGCTGTTTATCTGCTGTGTGGCCTCAGTTCCGTTATTTAAGGTCTCTGCGCTTCATTTTCCTTTCCTGTGAAATGGAAATAATGACAATGATGCCCACCTCAAGGGGCAGCAAATATCAGGAGAGATAATGAAAGCCCTCTATGAACTTTCCATTTCATTTCAATACGAGTGGTTACCCTTCTGATGAAGAGACTAAGGGTCAGGGAGGCCAGCTGACTTGCCCAAGGCCCACAGGTACTATGGAACCTGAGCCAGCCTCAGAATCCAGCCGAGCCCTGACTTCCAGGAGGCCTTTAATCCAATCTTGAGCCCCAGGGAGGAGCCTGGCTCCAGCTGTCAGGCCAGGCTCGCTGCATGGGCCTGCTGGTGGCCACCGACCCAAGTGCAGTGGGGGGAATTTTACATTGATTTGAATACCGCTGTTTGTATTTGCCTTCCCTTAGGAGTTAACTAGAGTCCTTCTAGCATTGATTAGCTCTATCTGGTTTCCTAATGGAGTAAACACAGGGCCCCTTGAATATCGACTGGAATTTAACAAATATACCCCTTACAACACCAAAATCGGCCACAGGACACGGTGTTTACACGCACAGGCCACTTCTGCTTGAACTCCCAGCTGGGATGCCTTGCGACTTCCCCTTGGGCTGCTGCTGCAGCCGTTCTGAACAGAACTCATGAATCAGTGGGACTGTTTATAGTTTTTCCTTTTAATTTTGAGGCAGGAGTGATTAATTTGAGCCTTGTTGAGGCAAGGGACAAATAAGTGCTGATAATGGCAAGACCTAAGAGGGGTTGAGTTCCTGCCAGGCCTGGGCCCCCCAGAGTGTCTCTGAACCAGTTGGGCCCACCTGCAGGCTTCTCCCTACACCCATCTCAGGGACCCCTTTGAGCAGAGACCTCGCAACCCTGCCTGGCCAATGCATGGAGCTGGGACTGAGTCCTTCATCCCACCCTCCACCTAAACTCGAATTTCTGCTGCTGCGAGTCACCAAGGTCCTCTCTACCTGCCCCTCTTCCCACTGCCTCTGCATTCAATCCTTGGGCTGTCCTGGACCCATCATCCAACCTCTCCTAGCACAGGCCTGCTCTGCCTCTCAGCTGCTTGCTCCAGGCATGGCCTCCTGAACTCAGCTCTGCTCTCCTAAGAAGATTGCAGCCGAGTTGAGGGGGCTGAAGGCGAGGGATCAGTCAGGTGAGCCAGGGTGGTCCCTGCTTGGGGCTCAATTGCTTTTAATCCGCCCCACAGGGAAATTCCAGGTTAGGCTTGGGGCCTTTGCTCTGACCTCCCCAGCTTTCTGAAACCAATCTTTTTATTTTTTTTTTTTTCATTATGCCTTGGAGTTGTTGAGGGGTATGTGTATGTTTACCTCTCAGAATAGCAATAAAATAAATCAGGGGAGAAAAACGAAAGTCCCAGTAGCAACAGATCGGTTAGACCTCTGGCTTTAATGAAGTGCAGCTGGTCTGACAGAACGAGCTCCTGCTCTCTTTTGGGGACCAGCCCCTTGCATCCGTCCTTTCCAAGCAAGACCTCCCTCCCAGGGCCTCCTCATCTCATCTGGAGCCGGAGCAGAGATCGGGGCCAAGCTGCTCAGCATTCCAGAGGGCACGAAGGTACCCGCAGCCTCCTTCTGAAAAGAGGCACAGCCTGGAGGATGAGGGAGGGGTGGGGACACCAACCTCTCAGCCCGTGCGTGCCCCAGCAGGGGTCCCCGGCCCTGTATGGGTTCCATGTCTCCCGGCTCCCAAGCAATAATCCACCCCCATGGCTTCCTAAGGAGCCGCACAATAGCTTTATTGAGCCGAGCTATAAATTTCAGCAAGGCCAACCCTGGGAGTAGGCAATTACCTTCCGAGGAGGCTCCCTCCGGACTGCCTGCCTCCCAAAACAAGAGGGCCTTTCATAACCACTCAGTTCCGGCACGGGCTGGGGACGGCCCGTGCACTGGCGGGTGCTGCGCACACCCCCTGCCCCCCATCTCATCATCCCCCACTCCCGCCGACCCTCACACTGCAGCATCAGGAGGGCAGCAGGACCGGGCGCAAGTACTTGCTTTGAAGGAGACTGTTCGGATGGCTGCTTCTTTGTTTCCCCCAAGTTTTGGCCTCAGCCCAAAATCGAGTTGAGGGAAGGATGGAGAAGAATAACTATATCTTGCAGGCCTTTTTAAAGTTACGACACACCAGGAGACGGGGAGGGGGGAGGGGAGGAGGGAAAGACGGGAGGAAGGACCTTTTCTTTCTTTACTAGGGGGAAATTGCTACATTTTCTAATAACAAGTAACTTGAAAACAGCTGAACCTTAAAACTTCAAACTTCAATCAAAGTCGTTCTCAGAGAAGGGTAGGTGGTTTGCAAAGGCTAGGAAATGTTTTTTGGTTTTTTTTGTTTTTTAAAAAACAATTGGTCTGGAATTAATCAAGATATTAATATCAGAAAAGGTAACATCGGATACAGGCTCTACCCAGGTCACTCAGGTGTGAAAAGCCCAGAGCTTCCGACCAGGGTCTGTTCCCAGGAGACCCGGCCTCTCTCCTTCCCCTTAGAAAGGCTCCTACCTTAGTGACAAGGCCTTGAATGTGCAGAGGGTAGACTCCTGTTCAAGACTCTCCTCCCAGCAGCCTAGCCACCCACGCCTCTTCTCCAAAGTGGCAGGCCAGCAGCGTGGGTGGGGACGCCTGTCCCCAGGGGCAGGGACCCAAGGGCTGGCATTGACTGACAGCTCCAATCTACAAAGGGGCTTGTTTGATGGGAAACCAATGCTTGGGCTCCCCATGGCTGTCAAGCCACTCCCCTCATTTAAAGTAAAAACCCAAGTATATTTATTCCCTGGTAGACCTGATACACTCCAGTACTCCTGCCAACTTGCTTTGCAACTTTGTACACAGCAGATCAATGTGTGCAATTTAGGAACAGAGAAATGAAGACTTCTGTGAAGAGGAGGGGGTGTGATTGGGGCTGGCAAAGGGAGGCCTTGGCTCCTGCTCACTGCTCCCCCTTCTCTCCTCCTAAAACACTTGCTTTCTCCCACCAGCCCATGGTGCCAATCTTTGCACCTTTAAAAGACAAGAAGGTCCTTTAGCCATGGACACAAAAGGATAACTCTTCCAACCTTAGCAAGGCAAGTAACTAGCACCTATTTTTCCATGTGCCTCACGTACAGAACACGACCATGGCCATAAGTTCACATAAAATGCCATCTGTATGTCCTGCCCTAAAGGGCATATCTAGAGGTCCTCAGCCCTCCCCGCACCCTCAAGGAGTTCCCAATTCCTCAGCAGACCTAAGGAGACTTAGGGACAGGTGACAACCGGCCGAACAAATACAGATGCTATTTACCTTCCATCCACTTTCCTGACAATTCTTAGAGGACACACACACAAAAAAAGTTTAGCTCAGTTCTGTCATGAAAAAAGGTTGCAGAATCTGCTGTCTTTAAGAAAGTGATTCTAACAGGCTTTGGATATTCTTTCTCCACATTCCCACCCTCTCCTATCCAGGAGATGACCCAAGGGGAGAAAACGGACTCAGCTGTGCCAGCTGGTGTTAAAACAACAAACCTGCAATTCATCTGTATTGCATTGGCCCCTAAGCTCCCTCAACTCCAAAGCAAGGCCTTTTGCCCACTTTCACACACACCCTCGGGCTGAACAGCGCTCTTTTTCCCACCAACATTGCCCTTGATGTTCATGCTCATCTGATTTTACTAGAATGGCAACACCAGGGAGAGGGGCATGGTGAACTCTGCTTTGAACTCCACACCCCTGCTAGGAAGGGCACACATGCCTAGTAGGGTTTAGATGAACCAGAAAGTACTGCGCACTTGCTGAGTGCAGCCTCTGTTACATGCTTTATGCACTCTGCCAGATCCCTTTCCTGGTACCACCCACTCCCCACCTCACAAAAATTCCCCGAAAAAATGAGATTCAGAACACACCAAATTACATGATTTGCCTGAGATTGTACCGTGTGAATGGCAGTACTAGGATTCAAAATGAGATTTTCTGACTCTAAAGCTAGTGCTCTTTCCTTGAAAACAACAGGATATGAAGGAAAAAGGATAAGGAGGATGAGCTCTGGACCCCGACAAACCTGGATTAGGATCCTAGGTTAGATCTGTTTCCAGCACTTGCTAAAGGCATGGACTTGGACAATGACCCTTTCTGAGTGTCAGTTTCCTCATCTGTAAAGTAGAGGACCTAACACCTATGCCATAGGATGACTGAGAGGATGATACGAGTTGCCATCTGTATAATAAATATCTAGCACATTGACAGCCCTAAAGTAGGTATAAACAGATGTTACTCTCAATTCTCCTCACTTCCATTTTGCAAGAGAAAAAAAAAATTGAAGACACGTATTCTTGAAATTTAACATAGGTGTACAACTCAATAAATTTCACCAGATGTACACGTCCATGTACCAGAAACCAGACCAAGAAATAGAAAGTTTGCACCTAGCCCTCAAGAGGTCCCCTTCTACCCCTTCCCACTTACCATATCCCTTTGAGGATGACCACCGTGCTGATTTCCAACACTGTGTATTAGCTAGCTGTACTTCTTGTGACACCTATATAAATGAATTCAGTATGTTCTCTGTCACATCTTTTTTTTTTTTTTTGTCACTTGCCATTATATTTGTGAGATTAATCTGCGTTGCAACCTGGTTATCGCTCACTCATTCTCACTTCTATACACTCCATACACAGTGTGTGGATAGATGCAATGTATTTATTCATTTCATTGTTCATGAACATTTGGGTTGTTTCCAGTATTTAGCTTTTACTAAAATGCTGCTCTGAGTGTTCCTTGTGTGTCATTTGGTACACGTGTGTATGCTTTTCTGTTGGTTCTAAACTTAAGAGTAGAATTGCGGGCTATTAAGGTAGGTGTATGTTCTGTATTAGTACTGTTTCAATACTACCAAACTGTATTCCAGAAGGTTTGCTCCAATTTACACTCCTCCCTAGCGTTTGAGAGTTCTGAGTGTTCACATCCTCACCAGTACTTGATATTGTCTGTCTTTTTTTTTATTTTAGCCATGCTGTTAAAAAACAAAACAAACAAACAAACAAAAACAGTGATTTTTCACTGTAGTTTTAACTCACAAAGCCCTGATCACCAAAAAAACTAGAGCGCCTCTTCATATGTTTTCGTTTACTTGGAGATCTCTTGAGAAAGGCCAGTTCAAGTCTTCTGGCCCATTTTTCTACAGGATTTTTTGCCCTTTTCTTATATTGTGGATATGAGTCCTTTGATAGATATATTTTGCTAATGTCTTTCCATACTCTGTAAACTTGTCTTTTTGCTCTTAATTATGTTTTTTGATTAATTGAAGTTGTTAATTTTAGTGTAGTTCAATGAGTCAAATTTTCCCTTATGGTTGGGCTCGTTACATCCTGTTGAAAGAAACTGTATATACCCTGGGTCATGAAGACATCCTTCTATTATGTTCCAAAAATTGTTGAAAAAGTTATTGAAAACGTCACCCTTTCCTCACAACATTGCAAAGTCATCTTTATCATAAATGAGGCGACTGAATGTGTTTGGGTCTGTTTCTAGACTCTACTACATTTGACTGGCTTCTTTGTGGGCATTTCACCTATGTAGCACTATCTTAATTACTATAGGTTGAGTATCTCTAATCTGAAAATCCAAAATCCAAAACTGTTTAAGTGCCAGCACGATGCTCAAAGGAAATGCTCATTGGCGCATTTGAGATTTCAGATTTTTGTATTAGAGATGCTGAACCAGTATGTTTAATCAAACATCACCAAATTAAAAAAAAAAAAAGAAAAGAAAAGAAATCCAAAACACTTCTGATTCCAAGCATTTCAGACAAGGGCTACTCAACATAAATAGTTTTATGTACATCTTGAAGATGCCTTTTTAAAAACTAATGCTAATATCTTTATAGCCCAAGAATTTTTAAAATGTGTGCCCCCTTCCTTGACTTAAGGTAGATTGTACTGGTACCAAGCCATCTGTCTAGTTAGCTGAGTGGGAAGAGAGGAAGAAGTAATGAGAAAGTAAGAAACTGTGTCATGAAAGTTTCTTCTTTAGACTAAGTGAGGTTAGGGTAGATGTCCACGTGCCATTCATGACAGGAAGAACCCAAAGATGCAAGAAAGTTCAAGGATCAGTGGAAAGAGCTTGAGCCTAAGAGTCAGAATTTCTGAACTCTGGACTCAACCATGCATTAGCTGTGGATACTCACCATGTAATCTTGAGCATCCTAGTCCCTCTTTCTGGCCCTCTTTTCCTTCTGTAAAAAAGAAGGGCTTGAACTACATCACCTCCAAGGGCCTCTCTGTCTCTTAGAGACTAACTGTGACTCTTAGTCAAATAAATAAAAATAAAAACCAATTGGTTTAGGAAATGACCTTCTAGTACTATAAAGATACTTTATATTAGAAGCAATAGAACACTTCCCTATTGTTATTCATCCCCAATGCAATCTTTATCAGAAAGCGTGGCTTCTGCTGGGCTGAATGTCTCCCTTGTATTCAGGATGGTGTTGTTAATGCCTTCCTCTGAGCTGGGATGTGTAGTTTTGGTACCAAACAGACATGGGTTCAAATCCTGCTTCTGGAACTTACTTGCTGTGTAACTCTGGGAAAATTGTTCTACCTCTTTCAATTTCAGTTTTGTCCTAGGTAAAATGAGTCTAATATTATTTACCTTCCTTGTATATTTTTTCCAGCCCGCAATATCTCCATGAGGACAACTTACTGTGGATGACCTCCATGGTATTGCTGCAGTATTGAACCTCGTGGTCAGGCGTCTCCTCTCACCTGTACAGTTGCTTTACTATTTCTCATCCCACCTGCTATGAGCCAGCCAATAAAGGTATCAGTAAATTAATAATTCATCTAGAGTCAATCCAAAGTAGCACACACCTGCTTAGAAACTACCTGGGCTTATTTTCAGTAGCAGTTCCCAGACTCTTTGATCCTGGGGAATGTATTTATGAGTGTTTCTAAGGTCAGGGTAGGAGCATGCCTGTGCCCAGGGCTGTTGGGGATCAAGTGTGGCTGTGATGGCACATGGCAGACATTCAATAATGATCTCTCCTGGTGTTTCTATTATTCTTATTACACCTTCTGTTCTGAAGAAGGTGGCAGCATACCTCTTTCCATGGTTAGAATAACAACAGGCTTCCAGCCCCCAAGCCAACTCAGCTTTTGATTTAAACAAAAATACTGCAGGTTATTCCTTTGGTAGAAGGTGGAGAAAAAGAAGAACAGACAGATTTCCAGGGAAGATGTCTTCTTTCCATTCACCTGATGGCTCTAGGGAGCCCTTCCTTCCCCCATGGAAGACCGGGCTCTCCTCCAGGCCAGGCTCTCCACGACCAGTCCCTTGTGGGAAGAGCAGGCCTCTGGCCACCAGCCTTTTGGCCTCCACTAGGTCAAAGAAAGGGCCATTTTGTCTTTCCCACTCAATCACTGTGCCCTACAGAGGTGACGGTCCACCACTCCGTGATGTCTCTGAAGAGTTGCTCCACAAACCCAGGCCAGCTGCAGCATGGGCCCTCTCCCGTGTTTCCAATGGGTCTTCCTCTTTCCTGATTCTCCCCTCCTGTGTGACTGGAGGAGAGCAGGCTGGGCACACAGGCCCTCAGCGGGACGTAATAGCAGATGTTTGCAGTGCATACGGTTCCCGGCACATTCGTTTGATCTGTGTCCAGGTTCTCTTAGACATTTGCTTCTAAGCCGACAGCTGAACATAAAAGCAGTCCCAAGTGGCTGTTTTCAGGTCTTCAACACTGGTTAGCCGCAGTTGGGAAATCTTCTCCTTCCCCGTGCCCCTGAGTGAATTATCACGTTATCGAGTCAGAGCTTCGGGGTGGCCAAGCCAGAGCTCGGCCGCTCCTCCTCTGATCATCCATCACCCGCCGAGTGGGTTATTAAGACATTCTCTGCCTGGGAGTGTGCATCAATCTGCGGCTCAACCATCCTCCCAAGGGAGCAGGCTGGAGGGGCTCCTGGAATTCCCATCCCCCAGATGTCTGAATGTCTGAGTCACACACCCCGCACCACTTCCTCTGTCCACCAAGGGGTACTGTGTCTGATCACCAGTCCATCTTCATCCCCCATATACCTGCTCCCCACCATTGCCCCCTGCACCCATCCCAGCCATTCAAGTAACAATTTCTTCCAACACTAGCCCTCCTGAGCACGCACTCATAGGACAGTGCCCCCCCACCCCCCCGCCCCACCTTCTCCTTGTCCCTCTGCAACCAGGTCATCCCTACTGCCCTCAGCCTCTGGGCAGAGGAGAGGATTAGATTGCACATGAATAAGCAATATTCACTTGGCGCTGACAGCCTAGAGTAAATCCCTTGAGCTGTTGTACAGGAGCAGTGCAATATTTCCCATCTCCTCTTCCCTCCATCGCCTCTCCCCGTCTCCTATTTCATTTAAGGGCCTTTTTTTTTTTTTTTTTACTGGGACGTACTTACAGGTGGGTGACTATATTAGAACAACACCATCAAAACACAGTGTTCACAGCAGATGAACAGATCCCTGGGAAGTCCCCTGATTAACCAACGAAGAAAGATACTCAGGGAGTGTGTTTCCCATTTCGCCTTCCCATCTACTGGGGGGAGGAAAGAGGTCTTTTGCTTCCCACACAAGCTCCAGGCCCTGCTGGGTCACCAAGCCCGCCTGTGGAAGGAAAACTCTCCCCGGAGCTTCGAAGAGCCTGCCTTTCAGAAAGATCTGGAGAGGTGAGGTACCCCTCAAGAAGGAAAGGTGACCACCACTTTTACCTAGCTCACGGTGGATACTCAGACACGCTGTGCAAGACACTCCCACCCCACTGCCTAGCAGCTGTGTTCGCTTAGGTGAGGCACTTCATCACGCCCCTGCCTTGCTTTCCTTACCTGCTAAATGGGAAGTAATGCCCTTGAGTAAGATGCTGGTCACAAATGTTTAGAACCGTGTCTGACACATGCAATGAATACACGTGAACTGTTTTTGCTGTCCTTTCATCTGCCACCTCCACTCCCCACATCAGGCCAAATTCCAACAGTTACGCCAGGAACAGCAAACAGGGACGTTTAAGAGAGAAAATGTATTGACAAAGAATTGCCCCCGACCTCTCTCAATGGTTCTTCCTCAGACCTGGAAAATGCCCATTAAACTTATTTGTCTCTAGCGCATGACAAGTGATCCATCAAGAGAAGAAGGGGGCGTGAAAGAAAGGGGAAAATGAAAAGAGGAAAGAGGGGAGGAGGGGGCGAGAAGAGAGAGGAGGAAAAGTCAGGAAGGAGAGAAAAAAATGAGGCGAAACCACAGAAGAGATTACCACAAAATCAGCTTGTTCCAAACAAAACTGATCCTATATCTCCTCACCCCCCACCCCGCCCCGCCCAGCCCCAGCATGCTTGCCTGTGACTTCCCTGTTTCTATCAGTGGTATTACCATTTTCCGTTGTCTGAGGCTTAAAACCTCAGGGTCATCTTCACCTCTTCCCCATTTCTTGTTCCCCTTATTCATTCACTGACTCATCAGAGTAACTCTTCATAATGTTTCTCAGGTTTTTTTGTTTTTGTTTTTGTTTTCATTTTCTGGCCACCCTCACTGTCGTTCAGGGCCTCATCATCTCCCCTCCCCATGAATTTGGTCTTCCTGCTTCTAATCTGTGTCCCTACCACCCACTTTGCTCAATGCATCCAGACGAATCTTCCTAAAGCGCCATTCTCATCACACGGTTTTCCGTTTCGAAAATCGACAGTGGAAACCACTGTGTGTGTGCGGCCATGAGCCCCTCACACCATCCCAGCCTCATTCTCCGCCTCTCCTCTGCACGGACCCTCTCCTCCAGTCTGACTTCTCTCTGTTCAGGACACAGGAAGTGCATTTCCATCATGATGAATTTTGGGTAGATGCTCAACCTGCACTGTCTGACACAGTAGCCACAAGCCACAGGCGGCCACTGACCACTTGAACTGTGCCTAGTGCTACTGAGGAAGTGAAATTTTAATTTTATTTAATTTAAATTAAAAATAGAAAGTAGTGTAAACTATTTTTGCATTCAACACAGCTTTATTGTTTTGATAGAACCACATTTCACTTTAACCATCACATCCCATAAAATGTTATTGCTATGCTATATAGTACGTGTGTTGGGGAACATATGTCATTTCTAGTATTAAAAACACATCACTGGCAATATTAGTATCAATGAATTGATTCCGTTTGAATGATTTTTTTCTATGCAGTGAAGTACCATTGTAATGTGATTATTTATGTAGACAACATGTGTTACAGGGATACCTATTTCTTTTAATTTTTTAATGTGCACACTAGACTATGTAAAATATAAATGAGCCTGCATTGTAGTGCTAGTGGATCACTCTATTGGCTTGGGTGATGGGACACTGAGACTTATTAGCAAGGGAGGCAGACTAGAGCTGCTTCTGGCAATGTCCAGATTGAGATGGTTCTGCCAGGGGCATCTAGAAACCAACAGTTTGAGGCACCCTGTGGACTTTTAGCACATTGCAGAAGGCCGCAGATCATGGTGGGCAGGAGGCTTGGCTTGGGAATCCAGTTAAGGCCGAATTGGCATCCAGCTCTGTCAATCTGACGAGTGATTCTGGGCCTCAGTTTTCCTGCCTGCTAAACTGAGAATAAGTTCAGAAGGTTGTTGGGAGGATTGCATAAGATAATGCTCTTAGCATGGTATTTGCAGATAATGAGTGCTCAGTAATCATTAGCTATCAGTCTATTGGATTTAATGTAATAGAGGCAGGAGGAGTATAAAATTACTTCTGGAGGTTCATTGTTTTCACTTTTCTCTGATTTGCAGTCACATGATGGCTGCAGAGGATGACCTTCTGACTCACAGAGATGAGGTCCATTGCAGCACTAAAATCAGCTCATAGGGAAGTATTTTTTTACCCACAGACTCAGCATGAAATGTGTTCTCGAATGTCCGTCGACTAACCACAATGACCTGCCCTTGCAAATCTCCTGTGATCAACTCTGAGCTCCACCTCCAGCCTCTCTGGGATGGGGTTTGGGGGTGGCTCCATTTCTATGCAGCTACTGGGTACTTCAAACTGAATGTTTGGTGCCCCCAAAATTTATATGCTGAAACTCTAACCCCCAGTATGGTGGTATTAGGAGGTGGGGCCTTTGGGGGGTGATTAGGTCATGAGGCCAGTGCCCAAATTAGTGCCCTTCTAAAAGAGGCCCTGGAGAGCTCACTCCGCCTGTCCACTATGTGAGCACACAGAGAGAAGGCAGCTGTCTATGAACCCGGAAGCAGCCCTCCTCAGACACTGAATCTGCCAGCACCTTGATCTTGGATGTCCCAGCTGCCAAAACTATAAAAAAACAAATTTCTGTTGTTTAAAAGCTACCCAGTCTATGTTTTTGTTACAGCAACCTGAATAGATTAAGACATTGGATTTGCCAAAAAAGTAATACTCAGGATGCCTGGCCCTCCTCCCAAAAACTCACCTCCAGGTTCTCTCAGGGTTTACTGAGCTCCCAAGCTACAAATCACCAGGACTGTCGTACAGGAAACTCTCCAGAGAAGCTCCAAAAGAAAGCCTCTCCCCTTATTTCCACCTTGCTCTCTACCAAACTTAGAGGGTGAGCTGATCCCTGGCACTACCCAGCCAGACAATCTCATGACTTAGAAGTATCCCCTAAGGTCCTGCCAGGCAGGAGGAAAGGAAGTGGCTTTATAGCTTGAGTCACTGGAGCACAAGTCCTCTCCCAGCACTTCTGCGTGAAGGAAAGGACAATGCGTTCAGACAACACTGGAAGAAACAAGAAAGCAGAAACCAACTCCAAGTTCTCTGCAGCGTTCTGGATCCAGAGCCAAAGAGAGAGCCAGGGAGCCAT